ATAAGACTTTCAGCCATCAGCACAACTACTGGCTCTTAAGGCTATTTTTCTCCAGCAAAGTGATCTCAGCACATAAAGACATTCAATAGCAATTAGGGTTTATTGTTTTCATCTCACTTATGTGTATAGGAGCCATTGAAATGTAAAATGCACACATCCTCTGACTTAGCAATTTCCATTCTATGGAATCATCCCACAGATGTGCCTATGTGTGAGTACAGAACATATTTGTACATGGAGGTCAAAATGTAGAGTTATTTAAGGTTATCAAAATAAAGAGTAAAACCTAAATACAAGACTATAAACACAATACCACAAATGCAATAAATACTGTCATATCCATAATGCACACAGCTAGACAAGCTGTAAAAGGTCCTTACACAATGATAGGTGATCAGTATATAGTGAGAACACAATGTCCCAAGCATTCTAGCACAGGAGCTATGGGTGTGGCCCAGTGGTAGGACATTTAACTAGTATACTTAGTGCCTTGTGTCCCCATTCATTGCACTTCCTTCCTCCCCATGTCCATCCATGCATATGTACAGATGTATACACACACACACAAACACACACACACACACACACACACACACACACACACACACACACACACACGCACAATCAAGCATGCATATGTTCCTGAACTAAAACCAACAGCAAAAAACATGAATGTAGTTGCCTCTATGGAAGAGAAGTAAGGTAAAATAAGGCAAATGAAGTTATTTTATACCTTTTCTATAGATTTAACTTTTATATCCTGTGTATCCATTTTTCTTTACGCACACATAGAGTTAAGCGTGGTCATCAGCCTTAACCTCAACAAAGCTGTCTAATAGCGACACCTACTGGTAAAATCCCTTCCTATCCCAGCATATGTCCTGAAGAAGAAAACCCATCATTTTCCTGGCAGAGCCACTGCAGCTATTATTCAGGAAATACATTTCTATTAAAGCCTCCTAAGGAACTCTTTGCTGATATGAGGCCTTCTGAGCATAAGGCTTAAAAGTACCATCTGGCTGGGAAGTGACGGTTCATTATGGTTTGAATTGAAAGCTATAAAAAGGCATGAATATTTCTATACCCTTCCATGGGGTGATCTCAAGCATATAATGCCAAGTGAAAAAAAAAGCAAATCAGAAAAAAATGAGAAGAATATGGTATGATGTATTTAAAAGGGGGAGAAGTTACAGATGGACATACACATTTGTTTTTATTTTTAATTTCAAGATTTATTTTTATCATGTGTATGAATATTTTGCCTGCATGTCTATAAGTGAACCATGTTCATGCAGTGCTCACAGAGGCCAGAGGAGAGCATCAAATCCCCTGGAACTGGAGGTATAGATGGTTGTGAGCTGCCATGTGAGTGCTGGGACCTGAACCCACGTCCTCTCCAAGATACCTCTCCAAGGTACTCTTAACTGCCGAGCCATCTCTCCAGCCCCTATTTATATTTTTTAAAAAATGAAAAGATGGGGCTAACAAGATGGCTCAGTGGATAAGGATGCTTGTCATCAAGCTAATGATCAGAGTTCTCCCCCCCCGCCCCCGCCCCAAGACCTCTATAAGGCCTATATAGTAGAAGAAGAGAGCCAACTCCCACAAAAGTTGTCTCCACCACTACATGCAAACCGTGTGGCACATGTGCCCAGACACATATACACACATGCACATGAACTCAAATAAAATGTCATTTTTAAATGGAATGAACCAAGAAAAAAGAAAGAACAAATAGTTGCTATACAGGAAGGCAGAGGAGAAGATAGAGGAGTGTTATGGAGCAAGTGTGAAATGCAGCCTCCAAGGTTCCTATGTTTGAACACCTGCTCCCAGCTGTAGTGCTGTTTAGGGAAGCTGAGGAACCTTTTGGACTAGGGGCTTAGGTAGATAGATGTTGGGCTCTTTTGGATGGGATGAGGGTTAATAGGCCAGCTTTGCTTTCCAACTGGTATCTGCTTACAGCGTGAAACAAACCACCTCATGGTCCCACCAACACAGACAGGAGCCAGTCTCACCACCATGCCTTCTCTATCATGATGGACTATATCTCCTCAAACTGTGAGGTAAATTAAACCATTCAGTAGCTACATTGGTTGAGTGCTTCCCTAGCATTCACAAAGCCCTGGGGTTCTATCACCAATACTACATAAACCAGAAATGATGGTACATACCTGGAACCCCAGAACTTGGGCGGTAACAGCAAAAGAGTCAGAAGTCCAAGGTCATCATAGGGTTCCATGAGAGCACATCTCAATTTAAAAAAATGAATGAACACTCCTCCCTTAAGCTGTTAGGTTGGGGTATTAATTATGTCACAGAGATGAGAAAAGTAACTAGTATAAAGAAATAAGAATAAGACCAGATTTCTCTAAGCCAATGATTATTTTATTTTTAATTATGTATCTGTATGTAGGTATGTACACAAGTACAGGTCAAAAGCACTGGATACCCTGGAGCTGGAGTTACAGGCAATTGTGAGCTGCCTACTGTGAGTGCTGAGATCAAAAGTTGTGTCTTCTGCAAGAGCAGTAGACATTCTTTTTTTAAAAAACAGGGTATATCTATGTAGTCCTGGCTGTTCTGGAACTCACTATGTAGACCAGGCTAGCCTCAACTCACAGAGATCACCTGCCTTTGCCTCCAAGTGCTAGGATTAAAGGCATGTGCCACCATGCCCAGCCTGCAGTACAAATTCTTAATTGCTGAGCCATCATTCAAGACCAAAGTCAATGATTCTTAATGGAGACAACTCTATCCCTACTCTCCTACCATTTGGTAATATCTGGAGGAAATTATAGTGTCATGATTGAGGACAGAGCTTATGACATCTAGCACCTCACATATGACAGTTATGCAATAATATGCCCCAGTTATGCAGTACTGGGGATGCAACTCAGGATTTTATGTATACCGAACAAACACTCTACCAACTGAAATACATCCCAAGCCTTGGAATTTCTTTTTTTTAAAGAAATGAAGTGATCCAAAATTGATTGCCACGATAGTGACACAGATCTGTGAAAATACTAGAGTACATTGAATGAGACACTTCAAATGACCAAAATCTGTAGGATGGTAATAACAACATAATAAAGACTGGCAAATGGCTAAGCAGGTAAAGTCACTAGCCCCAAACTTGACAGCCTGAGTTTGATCCCTGGGATTTGAATAGAAGAACCAACTTGTAACACAAATGATAAAAACCCAGAGACAGATATTATAGTTAAAGCTGAAGATCAGAGAAGCAAAGTGGCCAGCCATTACAGAGTTCTCACCTCTACCAATACTCAGACCTGTCCTCAGACTGCACTGCATCCTCAGATTGCACTGCTCCTCAAACTGCTCAGACTGCACTGAGTTCTTGTCTCCTCCTGCCTTATATTCCTTGATAGTGATGGGATTAAAGGCATGGGATCCCAAGTGCTGAAACCACCTTTGTGTGAGCTATGTTTCTCTTTTAGACTGGGTTAATTTCATGTAGCTAAGGGTGGCCTTGAACTAACAGATCCGTCTGCCTCTGTCTCCCAAGTGCTGAGATTAAAGGTGTGTGCCACCACTGCCTGGACTCTATGACTAACTAGTGTAGCTAGCTTTGAAGTCTGAACTTCAGACAAGCTTTATTTGTTAGATCATAAACAAAGTATCACCATACCACCTCCTGCAAGTTGTCCTCTGACCTGCATACACATGCTGTGGCAAATAAACCCACTCACATGTGCTCAAGAGTACACACATACACACAAAATAAATGAATAAAATTCTTGAAAAACCACACAGAGAACTAGACGAGGCAGTTTTTACCTGTGACTCCAACATTTGAGAGACTAGGGTTAGAGATTGCTGTGAGTTTGGGGCCAGCCTGGGCTACACAGTGAATTCTAGGTAAGCCTAAAATATGGTGAAATCACATCTAAAACAAAACAAGGGCATATGAGATGGCTCAGTAGGTTAAAATGCTTGTCACACAAGCCTAACAACCTGAGTTCATTCTCCAGAACATAGCACCAGAAAAGCAGTAATTTCCAACAGTCCATATGATACACACACACACACACACACACACACAAGTAAAAGTAAAAAACCAACCAAGGAGAGTATAACCACTACATGACGGCCCTGACTATTAGATAGGGGTGCTTGGCAGCAAGGATGTAGCTGGATATATACAGACAGGCAACAGATGACCAGGCAAGCCAAAGGCCAATGACAAGCAGGAAAGGCAAGATTTGCTAATGAGTGTGGCAAGAAATTGAAGGCACGGAAATAAAGCCTCCTAGAACAACTGGTTGAATTCTTCACTGGTTTTTGTGGATCTCTAAGTTCAAGGACAGACAGAACTACATAAAAACGAGACCCTGTCTCAAAGAAACAAAAACACAACCATTTTTGTGTGCACACATACAGGGATGCTGACAAAGGCAAGAAGGAAGTGTCAGATCCCTATAACTGCAGTTATGGGTGGCTATGAGCTGCCTAATGTGGGTGTTGGGAACCAATCTTGGGTCCTCTGGAAGAGTTGCAAGCACTCAGCCACTGAGCCATCTCTCTAGCCCCATGATTGAGTACCTTGGGGGAAAAGGAACTGGCAGGTGAGGACCAGCAGTACAATGTTTATCACTTTTGTTTTAGGATAGATGGCCACCAATGTGGAAAACAGGCAAACTTGGGACAAGACTAGAGATGGAACAGCTCATTGATTTATATTAGCTGTTATGAATTGTTGTCACAGTCAATCTAACCCTTCCCTAAACATTAAGCTTGAAAGCTCCTGCAAAGACATATTAGGCAGAGCTTTGTCTCTTCAAGGCCTAGCTGGCAAGCTAGACTAGTGAGAATAAAGCAGTCTGAAGCAAAAATGATAGGAAATAATAAATTCATATGTAATTCTTAAAGTTCTGGCACTGTTAGGAGAAAACAATAATCACCCCTCAGGGTTTAGGCAGGAACTGAAACAGAATGAAAATGACTGGACCCAGAAAAATCCACAAGCCACTTACCAATGGAACTGGAGTGTTTGGCTCAAATTCTGTAGAATTAGCATCTAAAGACAAAGACATTTAGTGATTTACCAATATTGCTGACATATGTTCTTGTTTTAAATAATGGTTAGAAACTTTGGGCTTACCTTTCAAGTTCAGGCAGTTTCTTGCGAATTCGACCACTGCCAGTTGCATTCCAAGGCAAATTCCTATTAGGAGAAGCACATGAACATGTTTTGTATCTAGTACATTTTGTGTTCAACTATTTCCTGGATTCTCTTAGAATGCAAACCTCAGGAGAAAAAGATTTCCTGTTTTGTTCCCTGTGATCCGCTTAGCACTCAGAATAGTTCCTGCAGAGCAGTGTGTGATAGGGGTTAAAACTAAAGGAGCAACCTAAGGTCCAGAGGTGAGCAAGAAGCAACTGGAGGGCAGATGAGGAAATGTCAAGCTCCCAGAAGACAAATGTGCCATCTGCTGCAACTGTTCTTGAACCAAGGCACCTATGTCTATGTAGGCTGCAGAGCTGTTTCAAAATTTTTTAGTCTTTCAGAGCATATCTAACAACACCCCAACTCAAGAGCAAGTCTCCTTGGGCTGAGATTTCACATTCCTGCTTCTCAAGATTTCACAATCAAAATATGGCCTTGGCCACAGGGCAACCTGAGGTTGGCCAATCTGAGGATGAGCTCCTAAGGAGGTGGGGCTGCTAATCTCTGGGAGAAAAGGAGCAGCAGGGGCTGGCACTGGTGCTATGGGCAGGTATGTGGCACAAAGCAGGGGAGGGGACACAACATGAAACTGAGCAGGTGCTCGAAAAAGACAGAAATGGGTTGGAGAGGTGGCTCAGAAGTTGAAGAGGTGGCCTGACAGAGGGTTGATCTTGAAAATATACAAAGAACTCAAGAAACTAGAAATCAAACTACCAAATAATCCAATTAAAAATGAGATAGAGATCTAAACAGAGAATTGTCAACAGAACAATCTTAAATGGTGGAAAGACACTTAAGTAAATGTTCAACATCCTTAGTCATCAGGAAAATGCAAATCAAAACAATTCTGAAATACCTTCTTACATTAATCAGAATGGCTAAGATCAAAAACACCAATGACAGCTTATACTAGAGAGGATGTGGAGAAAAGGGAACATTCCTCCATTTCTGATGGGAGTGCAAATTTGTACAGCCACTGTGCAAATCAGTATAGTGATTTCTCAAAAAATTAGGGATCAACCTACATCAAGACCCTGCAATATCACTATTGGGCACATACCCAAAGAAGACACATTCATACCACAAGGACATTTGCTCAACTATGTTCATAGCAACATTATTCATAATATGCATATTTTGGAAGAACCCTAGATGCCCCTCAACTGAAGAATGGATAAAGAAAATGTGGTATATTTTCACAACGGATTACTACTCAGCACTAAGAAAAACAATGACATCCTAAAATTTGCAGGCAAATGGACAGAACTAGAAGAAAACCATCCTGAGAGAGGTAACGCAAAACCAGAAAGACAAATATAGTATGTACTCACTCATAAATGGATACCAGACATAAAACAAAGGATATCCAGCCTACAATTCACAACCCCAGAGAAGCTAGAACCCTCTTCCAGAAACAGATGGAATCAGACGCAGAAATCCATAACTAACCATTGGGCCAAGCTCCTGGAGTACAATCGAAGTAAGGGAAGAGCAATAATATGAACAAAGGAGTCAAGACCATGATGGGGAAGCTCACAGAATCAGCTGACCCGAGCTAGTGAGAGATCACTGACTCAGGTCTGACAAATGGGAAACCTGCATAATACCGAACTAGACTCCCTTAATATAGGCAACAATGGTGTGATTGGGACAATATATGAGGCCACTGGCTGTGGGTCCAAGATCTAACACTAATGCACAAACTGACTTAGTGAAACCCATTCTATATGGAGATATACCTTGCTCAGCCTAGACACAGGGGTGTGGGGGGTGGAGAGGTACCTTGGTCCTACCTCAACGAGATGATGGGACAGACTTAGTAGACTTTCTAGGGGAGGACTTACCCTCTCCAAGGAGAAGATAGGAGGTGGGGGGAGCGGAGAGGAGCGGGAGGAGAGGAGGGAGGGGGAACTGGGATTGGAATGTAAAA